TTCTGGAAAAGTATGTACTTACTACCGATTGGAGGGTAAGTGGTTTAGAGCTAAAGTTTAACCCTTTATAACTGCTGTGTTGCTAGGTGTTTTTTTTTTGTTTTGTTTTTTTTTTTTTTTGAGACGAAGTCTCGCTCTGTTGCCCAGGCTGGAGTGCAGTGGCACAATCTCGGCTCACTGCAACCTCTGCCTCCTGGGTTCATGCCATTCTCCTGCCTCAGCCTCCCGAGTAGCTGGGACTACAGGTGCCTGTCACCATGCCAGGCTAATTTTTTGTATTTTTAGTAGAGACGGGGTTTCACCATGTTAGCCAGGATGGTCTTGATCTCCTGACCTTGTGATCCACCTGCCTCAGCCTCCCAGAGTGCTGGGATTACAGGCATGAGCCACCATGCCCGGCCAGCTAAGTTCTGCTAGAATTTATCTAGAGCTTTGGAGAAACTTGGAATGGTTAGAAACTACTACTCTTCAAAGGAAAGGGGCTGGAGAACCAACAAAACCATTGTGTCCCTTTTTGGACATGGGAAGTAGAACATTAACCACTTGCTAATTATAGCATCTCCCTTAAGCAATTCTTATCTACAACTGTGGCCTACCCTCAGTGTTGTACAATGTGTGTCACACAATGTGCTATCTTGTTTCTGTGGCTTAAGAGAATTCACCATTTCTACCTACTGCTACCTAATACATGAATTAGATAACTCTTCCATTTGTATATTTTATTCTGTAAGAAAAATTCAAATTGCTGTTATTTGTCACATTATTAGCTAATTTATGAAAGCGCTAGCCCTCTCATTCAAAGAAGGGTTAAGGATTTATAGAATTCCTACATTCTCTGGAAGCATCAGTAACCTAAAGGCTAGAGCATGGTATGGGCATGTGCATGATGAATATTTTTGATGTATAGTTGATATATTTGTTTCAGTGGTTTGGTATTAGAACTGCTGGAAGGGAATCTCAGTATATTTTTTTTCTTTTTTGAGATAGTCTCGCTGTGTCATCAGACTGGAGTTCAGTGGCACGATCTCGACTCACTGCAACCTCTGCCTCCTGGGTTCAAGCAATTCTCCTGCCTCAGCCTCCCAAGTAGCTGGGACTACAGGCACGAGCCACCATGCCAAGCTGATTTTTTTATTTTTAGGAGAGATGGGGTTTCACCATGTTGGCCAGGCTGGTCTTGAACTCTGACCTCAAGTGATCCACCCGGCTCGGCCTCCCAAAGTGCTGGGATTACAGGTGTGAGCCACTGCGCCCGGCGACTTGTGCTAATGTTAAACAAAAATTATGGGGGGTCGTTTTTTGTGGATTAAGTTTCTGCACTAGGTTCTAGCAGACCAAAGTAGTTACATATATTAAATGCCACACAGTAAAATGGAAACTTTACAGTAATCAGTTTTTCCTGAAAACAGAAAATCCCACTCTGTCTGAATCGGAATAATAAGGAAGTCCCTTCTGCTTTAACCCTTAAAGAAAAGTAACCCGATGTTAACCAATCAGTTATTTTTCATTGTTTTGTTTCCTTACTCTCACAAAACCCACTATTCTGCTGTTTGTCATTGGGAGCTTTCATTCTATTTTGTAGAATGGAGGCTGGCCCATTCATAAGTTATGAATAAACGCCAGTTAGATCTGTAAGTAAATTTGTTGTAATTTTTTCTGACACTAGGAATTGCCAAATAGCCCTTCACAGGGGAAGTACTAGTTTTTGTTTTTACCAATCCCTGTCCCCTGTGCCTTTTTAAAAAAGAGATGAAGTCTCACTGTTTACCCAGGTAATTAATTGCATTGCCTATTTACAGCCATGATCATAGCAAACGCAACTTCAAGCTACTGGCTCAAGGGATCTTCCTGCCTCAGCCTCTGGAGTACCCTGTATTTTGTTCACAGAGCATGTTGACAAACTTGGATTTCTGCCCATCAAATAAGTTTGAACTATAATTATACACTTTTTTTTTTTTTTTAAGGCCATCAGCTTTGCAAAACCCCTGCTTTTGAAATATCTTTTTTTTTTTTTTTTTTGAGATGCAGTCTTACTCTGTTGCCCAGGATGGAGTGTGGTGGTGCTATCTGAGCTCACTGCAGCCTCTGCCTCCTGGGTTCAAGTGATTCTCGTGCCTCAGCCTCCTGAGTATCTGGGATTACAGGCGCCCACCACTACACCTGGCTAATTGTTTTATTTTTAGTAGAGATGGGGTTTCATCATTGTAGCAAGGCTGGTCTCGAACTCCTGACCTTAAGTGATCTAACTTGGTCTCCCAAAGTTCTGTGATTACAGGCGTGAGCCACCGTGCCCAGCCAGGTGCTAGTTTTAAAAGGTTCAGAGTTGAAAAGTATTAACAATAGGGCTCACTGTATAACACGGTGTAAGTACTATACACACACACACACACACGTGTATGATGTAATTCACAACTGTGATAAACATTGTCCTCATCACTCACCCATTTTATGGATGAGGAAACAAGTCCAGAAAAGTAACTTCCCAAGGTCACTCTTAGGGCAGAGCTACTATTTGAACACCTGACTTCTGAATGTGAGTTCTTAGTCGTCATCTCTTTGGCATTCCCCAGAGTAAAGGAAAAAGTGCCTCCTTATCAGTCCCTGATGCTCTTGTGAGATTGCTGGAAAACCTGTCACAAATCAAACTGTATCTTAAAGAGTTGATTTTTAAGGTGGAGTTTTCTGATTAGGTATGGGTGTTGTCCCAATATCAGTTGTATTTACCTTAAGGGGAGTCCTAATCGAAAGGACTAGCACAAAATAACCCATTTCTTTCATTTCAGTTTCATTCCAGAAGGAAACACTTCCTGAACCTAGATCCTAATGCCTAGGCTATGCCTTGCAGGGCACTAATGTCAAAACTGTTGCCTTTGGATGGCTTGGAAAGAGCCGAGGGACCTGTCTGCTCAAGGGCCAGCTATTTGAAGTGCAAATTGCCCTAAAGTGTAGTAACTCTCTTTCTGCCTAGAGTCAACAGGCTCTGAGAATTGAGCCCCCAACCTGATTTCTTCCGTTATGGCTTGTGGAATAAGCCTTAGAATGTTTTCTATGAAGATTAAATGAGCACACATGTCAAAGTGTTTTGAAAACCATCAGGTTTACCATGAAAAGCATCTTTCAGGAGTTGGATGGTTTTCTCTGGTTAAAATATTTATTTTTATAAGAGTTTTTCTCTAACATCAAGACAGGAGCTGTCCTCAGTGTGGCCTGCAGTTAACCAGATTAAGTTTAAGTTAAAATTTGCAATAAAGTAGCCCTGGAAGGAAACATACAACATGGAACTGAATATTCACATTCAGTTTGCAAGTTCCGGGAAGGCAGAAGTTCAGGATCAAGGGCTGGAGCTGGGCTGCCAGCACAGTCCCCAGGCATCCTTCACTGAGGGGAAAAAGCAGAAGTTATGTAGTCTAAAGATCCTGACGCAAGTTGTCTTCATAATCTTTTTGCTGCTTGGGCTGCTCTCGATGTCTCAATGTTGGGAAAGAACAAGGCTCAGCCAATAGTAAGGACCTTCCTATGTGCCAGCTACCATGTGCTGTAATCAAGTGTTTTCTTAGTTCCCCTTACACCTGCTCTGTATTTCAAAAAGTCCTCTACCCTGAAAATGTGCTGAGAGTGCCACATGACAACTTACCTTCTTATGCACTCCCTTGGTCGGCCATTCAGCCAATATCTGATTTGGGGGTCTAGTCAGGTCTTGCTTCCCAAGCTTTTCAGAAACCCTGATGAAACAGGCATAGGGTCTAAACTTAGAGCAAACCTTACAGCCAACTCCAAGTGCAGCAAGCAAAATAAATAAAACGTCTAAACCGTTGAATCTTTATGTGAAAGCCATAGCCCTTTAGAGCTAACATTTGCAACCTTCTTAATTATAGGAAGTAGATATAGAGGAGTAAAGTGATTTAACTGGGAATCTACCCCACACCTCAAAGGTTAGGTCGTTAATTGCGGGTGCACAGGAGAGATGGTGGGATGGGAGGGACAAGAGAAGACATATTTAGATACATCTGGTTAATAATTTGGTGGTGGTGGGAGCCTTGATTCCCACCCCCAACCCGCACCCCCCTTTTAAAAAAATCCTATTGCCGAGACAAAAGCAATATAACATAATTTAGTATTTCCTGAAACTGCCGGTTTCTAGGAACTGCCCAAGAGTACCTATACGCACATTCCCGAGACACTGGAGTTGGATAGGTCTAGGGAGGGATCTGGGGATATGCGTTTTACAAGCATCAAGAGCGATTCTTAAAAATTGGGTGTTTAAATCAAAAGATTTATGATCTTTATGTGGCCTGCAGTTAACTGTTTTGTGCACTCCTTGAGCTAAAAGGTAGTATCCCACCCCCTCCATAAACAGACACCTAAGTTATAAAACTTCTGCCCTCGATATGCAAAAATAGTTCCTTTTATACAGAAATGATCCTTTCCTTCTTTTCAGTATGTATCTTTTAACTGTCATCACTCCTAACCTAGACCTAGAGTGGTTTTGTTCCGGTCCCAGCTCTGCCGGACACACGCTCTGCCCAGAGAGAGACCCGATCTACCCAAGGCCAGGCGGCCTAGGGCCACGTCTGTGTCTAGCGTCCGGCGGGCGCTGCCGTGCCGCTCTCCCATTGGCTGGAAGTTCCCTCGCCTGGGCCGGCGCGGCTCCTGCTCGCCACGCCAGCCCGTCGGGCTACCGACCGCCCAGGGGGGCGGGGCTTGGAGGGACGGGGCGGGGCCCGGGTGAGGGGCGGGGCCTCGGGGCGTCGCGGACGTCCCGGCGGCCTACGGCGTGGGAGGGGGTCCTGGGCCGCGCCCCGCGAGGCCGGGCCCTGGCCGGGCCAATCCCGGGCCACCGGGCGAGCGAATGCTGGGCCTGGCGGGCCCGCCCGAGAGCCTGGGGGTTGGGGACAATGGGCTAGTTCCTGGTGCGTCACGGGGGAGTTCCTTAAAGGGGAAGTGAGCCGGGCTACGGGGCGAGCGCGGGGTGCGGTGGTCGGCGGGGAGGCCCCCGCGCTTTAAAATAATGCCCGCCGCGCCCGCGCGACCATGCAATGGCGAGCGCTTGTCCTGGGGCTGGTGCTCCTCCGGCTTGGCCTCCATGGAGTATTGTGGCTCGTCTTCGGGCTGGGGCCCAGCATGGGCTTCTACCAGCGCTTTCCGCTCAGCTTCGGCTTCCAGCGTCTGAGGAGCCCCGACGGCCCCGCGTCGCCCGCCTCGGGGCCCGTGGGCCGGCCTGGGGGGCTATCCGGACCGTCGTGGCTGCAGCCGCCGGGGACCGCGGCGACGCAGAGCCCGCGCAAGGTTCCGCGGCGTCCTGAGCCGGGGGTGTGCGGCCCAGCCCACTGGGGCTACGTGCTGGGCGGCCGGGACCGCGGCCCGGACGAGTACGAGAAGCGCTACAGCGGCGCCTTCCCTCCGCAGCTGCGTGCCCAGATGCGCGACCTGGCACGGGGGATGTTCGTCTTTGGCTACGACAACTACATGGCGCACGCCTTCCCTCAGGACGAGCTCAACCCCATCCACTGCCGCGGCCGTGGGCCCGACCGCGGGGACCCGTGAGTAGCCCCCGCCGCCCGGGGCCGCGCGCCCAAGCGCTTCCTTCCGCCCTCCGCTCCGGGGTGCAGCCGTCTGTCCTCCGAGGGCGCCAGGGCCGTTAGGGTCCCGGGCAGCGTCCCCGCACCGTGTCCCGCCTGAGTCCCTGTGAAGACACCCGAGCTTGAGGGTGCGGGGTGGGCCGGTGGCCTTCCTCTCCTGATTCTCCCGCAATCTCCAAACTTCAGAACTGCTGTCCAGCTCAGTGTCCTACACATGAGGAAACTGAGGTCCAGGACCAGAAGGGACAGTGGCAGTGCCAAGGGCTGGCTTGGAGGGCTTTCCACTTCCATCTTGAGCCCCTCCTCCGGATGAACATAAACTCTAGATGAAATCTCCATGCTTCCCGTGTAAACGCAGCTTCAGAACAAGTCTTTACCCCGTACCCCCACCTCCATCAGATTGCCACACCCACGTCCTTTCTGTGTAAAAAGCCAAGAGTTGACTTCTCCAAAGCCGTCCATTGAGTTTGAGGCAGAACGGGGTTACAGCCTCTCCTTCACAGGGGCTGCTTCTTACGCTGAGGATAGGTGGTGGGGAGGGAAGCTATGTGGCCCACATTTGGGGTCCAGATACTTGAGGTGAAATTTATTGGATGCTGAATTGACTGTCAACGTCATTACCCTGTGCGATCTGTCCTATAAATCCCCCCCTCTGGTGGCGTGGTTGTCAGGGAAGGTCAGCCAGCCCTCCCTGTCCACCAGCCTTGTTTGCAAAGGCTGAGCTCCAAGGTTCACCGCTGTTGACGTCCAAGTCCAAGAGAGCAGTACACCCAGCTAAGGACCTCTTACCTGTAGGGAAGGAGTGTGCATTGCCATAGACCCTGTTAGTCCAAATAGGTGACTCCCCTCCCCTAGATGGGAGTGGAGGAGTTGGTTTGCTCAGTGTCTTGGCACCGTCTGGGGCAAGCGTTTTCCTTCATCTGGAGGAAAGCAGTGGAATCCAGTCCTTAGGTTCTGATAAGGAAGCCTATAGACTAAACGGACTTGGGTTTTTTAAATGATGTGGTTATCTACACATTTATGTTTTAAATTGCAGTTTGAGAGCATGATTTCTACCGAAGCAAGGGGACATCCCAGGCAAAGGACTGAGCCTTTTCATAATTCTAGGGAACTGATGAGTTTTTCTTGCTTAACCATAGCGTTTATATGTATAAGTGTATATTCTATCTCAATTTTTTTTGAGAAAAAATATTAAATTTTGAAAAAAAGTTTTTGGCCTTTCCAGATTTTTTGTTTTTTGAGACGGAGTCTCGCTCTGTCGCCCAGGCAGAAGTGCAGTAGCGTGATCTCTGCTCACTGCAACCTCCGCCTCCCGGGTTAAAGTGATTCTCCTACCTCAGCCTCCCGAGTAGCTGGGACTACAGGCTCATGCCACCATGCCCCGGCTAATTTTTTGTATTTTTAGTAGAGACGGGATTTCGCCGTATTAGCCAGGATGGTCTCGACCTTCTGACCTCGTGATGCACCCGCCTGTGTCTCCCAAATTGCGGGACTTAACAAGCCTGAGCCACCGTGCCTGGCCATGACCTTTCCAGATTTTAAGCAATGAATGATTTGGCTCACATAACTAGAGGGGACTTTATACCTATAAATGTATTTTCTTTCTGTCTCAGTTTTTTTGGGGGTGGGGAATAAACTTCACTAAATTGTGGTGTTTTTTTTTTTTTTTTTTGTCAGCCTACATCATGCTTTAATGTTTTTTCTTTTTAAATCAACATCATTAAATTTTGAATAACATCATAAAATTCCACCAGTTATTTTAAATTTATCTTTGCCACTAGTTCCTGCCCATATGTCTACCCATGTTGTACATAGGCAATCATAGTATGTGTACATATTTTGGATCTTAATTTGTGCTTTTCCACTAGTGCTTTTGGTATTACAAGAAGGGAGAGAGCACTTTCAATAAGTACCTTTATTCTTGCTCACAGACTGTTTCTCAGATTACCTTTTATCGGGTGGACTCAAGTTGAAAACAGTTTAACGGGGAATTGTGATAACACTTTCATTTGAGAATATGATGGTTTGGAGAGTGAGTTGATGACATTTTAATGTTTTTCTTAACCTTAAGAGTGCTTCTGGAGAACCTTAAGAGTCCCTTCCCAGCAAGTGAGGTGGTGGTTGATTTAACTTGCTGGTCTTCATGGTATCATGTGTGCCGTTGGCTTTTATTTCAGAATGAAAGGCTGCTGATGAGTGTTTTGGTTTGGTTATGCATTGGTTTGGTTATGTGTAAGTTAAGGTCAGGTTGCTTTGAGACAGATGTGTTATTGGAAAGAGGGTGTTAGAAGTATTGAGGAGGTGGGGATGGCATTAGGGAAGGGTTGTGCCCTGAGCTGGGTAGACCTGTTGGTTGGTAAACCTTTGTTGTCTTTGAGGAGGCCATAGAAACCTTGCGCAGACTCCTCACACTTGCCTCTTACAGAGAATGGAAAAGTTAATTTTTTGTACTCTCCTTCCTTTAATTTAACTCCTCTCAGGCTTTGCTATTTTTGTTTTAATATTTAAAATAATTTTATTTTTAATTTTTGTGGATACATAGTTAGGTGTATATATTTATAGGGTACATGAGAGATTTTGGCACAGGCATGCAATTCATAATAATCACATCGTGGAAAATTGGGTATCCAACCCCTCAAGCATTTTTCCTTTGTGTTAGAAACAATCCAATTATACTCTTTTAGTTATTTTAAAATGTACAATTATTGACTGTAGTCCTCCTGTTATGCTATCGAATACTAGGCCTCGAGGAAAGTTTAGAACCAGAATATTGTCATGCTCGCTAAAACAGGAGGGTACTTCACATCCCCAAACTAAATAATCTGTGATAAAAATCTTTCATATTTTTTGTTTGTTTGTTTAATTGACAGGGTCTTGTTCTGTCACCCAAGCTGAAGTGCAGTGGCACAATCATAGCTCACTGCACCCTTGAACTCCTGGGCTCAAGCAGTCCTTCTGCCTCAGCCTCCTGAGTAGCTGGGACTACAGCTGTGCCCCACCATGCTTGGCTAATTTTTAAAAAAAATTTTTCTGTAGAAATGGGGTCCCACTTTGTTGCCCAGGATGGTCTCGAACGCCTGGCCTCAAGCAGTCTTCCCACCTTGGCCTCCCAAAGTGCTGAGATTATAGGTGTGAGCCACCAAGCCCAGCCAAAAATCTTCCAGATTTAAAAAAAATCAAATGTATTCTAACGATTCATTTAACAAGAGTGAATTTGCCATTAGAGTATTATGTAAAAAGTACACATAGAAAATATCGGTGCTAAACACTCTTACCTTTTCTCTGTAGTCATGTGTGCTCCAAGCTTTCTTGCCCCAAGTACATGTGACTTATTCTTGGGGAGGTGTCAGGTAAGGGGTTAACATGAAGTAAATAAAACCTGAACACTCTAAAAAGAGCAAATCTTTCTGTCTACAGAAAGCTATACAAAGTCAGTTCTTCTCACATCCTCAGTTTGGGTTGGAGGATCCAAACTTAAAAGTTTCTTTGAGTAAATGTGGACATTATATTTTTGTAATCCTGTGAATGGTAAACTATAGTTCTGGCTTTTGGGCATGTGACCATTCTCAATTTCTTCTCAACTGTATTGCTATTAAAACAACAAAGCAAATCTCAAATTAAGCCAAACAAATATTGGCCCCTCAAATGCTTAGGTACTCCTAGCTCAAGATGGCCTCCTCTGCATTCCTCTTTCTTTGGAAAATCCTGCCCTCTTTCAGAGTCAGGCTCGTCTTGTTTCCGTGACGCCGTCTAACTGAAGATGATTCTCCTTTATTTACTCAGTTCTCCTTTTGATTCCTTTCCTTTGAGCTGCGATTCCACATTTTAATCTTGTTTGAGAATTGAGTACTGTTGTGCGTTCACCTTCATTTCCCTTTGTCTTGTCTCTCCAGATTATCAATCCCTTGAACGCAGGGACTCTTTCTTATGTTATTTCTGTGCCTACACCACACCAGGTAGATTTCTGAACAGCTGTTACAGGCTAAGTATATGTGGGAATTTTTAAAAACACATATGTTTGATTTTGTTAGCTGACATAATCAGAAATTTTCTGTCAAAGGCCATGGTTTTCTCCATCTTTTCTGTTTTGAGGTGAACTTTAAAAATGTACAGTGGGGTGAATGCCATGAACATTTGTACCTGGTGAAGTAAGTGGAGCATTTAGTTGTGCGGTTCAGCCAGCTGGTTACAGGGAAAGGTATTGAGTTCTTGGCTTGATGCACTTAAAGATACCAGCTTAGGTTGGACATTGACAAGAATATCTACGAAGAACAAATCCAGAGTCTTACCTGCATAGTGGGCTGGCATAAATGGAGTCATAATAATTTCATGCTGTTAGGCTAGGAGAGTTTTATGGTGTTTATTTTTTTTTCTTTCATCCTCACTCCCACTTCCCTCTTATTTTGGCACATTTTGAAAGAGGATGTAGCAATTATTTGGTAAGAAAGAATTAAAAGTGTTCTAATGAATACCCCAGATCTTGGAGAAGATTTGTCTGACTACTCAGTGGAGAGAAGGAACCCCACAGTTACTGCAAATAATTTTTTTTTTTTTTTTTTTTACTGTGGCAACTCAATTTTTAGTGACTGGGCATTGTAAAAGAAATATTTTAAAACAGGGTCTATTTTAGTTACAGATTAGAAGGCAAAGCACGATAAAACATGGAAAGGAGTTCAGTGCTCACAGTGAGTACCTTCCTTCCATGGGCCTGTGCAAGTGGAGAGAGTGACACATGCCACAGATCTGGGTGTGAGTCAGGAGAGGGGAGTTACATGTGGTTCTCCTGATTACCATCTAGCTTGGATGCTGCATGATGAGGGAGCTACTTTCTGATGAGGTGGGCTATTAAAGCCCACTCTGTTTCTAAGCAGCAGAGCAACATAGTGAAATATTTACACGCAGCAGAACATTCTTGAGTTGGCAGAATTGGGCATGAGGATCTCCCTGTCTCCTTTGAGCCCCTCCTGCAACCCTTGCACTTTTTGTATCTTTTTTGGCTGTCACTTGCCCTTGAGAGGCGTATTTGAATCCACAGCTCTCGCTTTGAGGGGACCTTTTGCTATTGCATAAGTTTATTTCCAGAGAATCAACAAATAGAAGAAACAGGTGCAATTTTCCAGCCAAGCAGTTTTCTGACTTTCCAGCTTGTAGGAAATGAGATAACCCTAGTTCCTAGACTATAGCCCCCATATATATCTTGTTTGAAAAAAAAGTATCTAAAATTTTACTCTAAATTCTTTGCTTTGGATTAGGTGGCATAACAGCATAAAACAAGGCAACTGGAGGGTTCAAATAAAATCAGACATTGGAGCTGTTATGCCTCTTTCACATAAGCCCCATTTCCCCGCAGCTGAGGTATAGGCCTTTCAGAGAGCACAGTAAGCCATCACAACACAGAGGTGCTGTACCCCAGAAGCTTCTCTCACTGGAAAGTGAGATAAGGACCCATTAGGGTGATCCAAGGAGCAGATAAAGTACTCTGGGATATGATGGAAGACTGCAGATATCAATGAATCTTGCTGGAAAGAAAACTGGAGCTTTTTTGCTTTGGTTGCTAATAAAATCTTTAAACGGTTGTCTTACGTCTTCTCTTACTATCATTTTTTCCAAGCTTCTGCACTTACTTTCTGGGTTTTTGGGAATGGGACAAATAAATAAATGAAGTCCCCAGAATTTCTCAAACTGTCCTTTATTTTACTAGTTCTTCATCCCTATTCTCTCAGATGTATTAGTTTTTTTGTTGTTGTTGACTTTTTTTTTTTTATTTATTTTTTTATTTATTTATTTATTTTTTTGAGACAGAGTCTCGCTCTGCCGCCCAGGCTGGAGTGCAGTGGCGTGATCTTGGCTCACTGCAAGCTCCGCCTCCCGGGTTCACGTCATTCTCCTGCCTCAGCCTCCCGAGTAGCTGGGACTACAGGCGCCTGCCACCTTGCCCGGCTAGTTTTTTTTTTTTGTATTTTTTAGTAGAGACGGGGTTTCACTGTGTCAGCCAGAATGGTCTGGATCTCCTGACCTCATGATCCGCCCGTCTCGGCCTCCCAAAGTGCTGGGATTACAGGCTTGAGCCACCGCGCCCGGCCTGACTTTTTTTTTTTTAAATGTTATAAAGAAATACAGCGCCTGAGGAGCTGCACCCTCGTTGTCATCCTGAAGTTGGTTTCTTAAGGTTGTTTCAGAATGGAAAATTGCTGTAGATTATGGGGGTGAGAGTTGTGTGGCAGAAACGTTTCTGTAGCTCCAGTTAAGAAGGGAGAAAGGCCTCAATTCCTGCTTTGGTTCATGTTAAATAATATCTCAGAATTAATGGAAATAATGGAGACCCTTTGGATAAGTTATTAATGAAGAAATGGTGTAAAGAAGTTAATTTATAACCCCAACCATAGGGCAGATGGGTAATATTGACACTGTCAATGAACGTATTTACTTTGTGTGTAATAGACTGTGGTGTCGAATTTCTTTATTAAAGTGTTACAGGTGAGTCGTATGACAAGGGCTCTCCTTTAGTTCCTAATGATTATGAAAAGAGAGCTTTTTAAAGTTGGACAGGACCAAAGAGATTGTATATGGTGATAAGCCTGAATCTGAGAGAGGAGATAACTCACCTCCTGACTTCCCATGAACATGCTTTCCACTCTGGTACGAGTGTGTCTCCTCAGTTCTGTAACTCGATTCTACTTATGGACACTATAGAAAGTGTTGCTTTTGGAGTAGAAAGACCTTTGCCGTATTAATTCACCCATAATTAGTTCCTGAATAAATAAGAGTCGCTGGCAATTATAGTTTCTGATGGGTGTTTGGTTTTATTGTCTTCTCTTTCGAAATAACGTCTTTTTGTTTAATTTTAATTTTCTTTTTCAGTTCAAATCTGAACATCAATGATGTACTAGGGAACTACTCATTGACTCTTGTAGATGCATTGGATACACTTGCAGTAAGTGTTCACCTTTTTAAAAAAAGTTAATTAAGATAAGATGTTTTGGAGTGGATTATCCCTAGTTCCCTCCAGCAATGGGAATTCCAGGGAGCCTGATAAGTCAAAATGTATCATTAGCTTTGATAACTGTTATTTATTTTAATGACCTTAATGGGGAGGGCAAGAAATGTGTTGAAGGTTAAATGAGGGGAAATGTGATTCCATTAAAAAAAGGAGAAGAAATGTATGATTGATTTTAGGGAACCTATTTTTTTTAAACCAGTTTCTATCTTATTCCCTAAAAGAACCCATAGAGAAGCTCATTAATATTGATAATTACAGTAGTTGCTATTCCAGGAGTAAAAGAGAGAAGATCTCAGGGTCGGCAGGTACCCTGAAATATCATCTAGCTACTGGCTCCCCCAAGAGCAAGTTGGAGTCATAGTGCCAGTCCTTATGTGGGGCTCCCTAGAAACCCTTCTCTTTTATTTGCTACTTCCTGTTTTGTGGACACTCCATGCCTGAGCTGCCAACGTGGGTGCTGACATTACCTCCTCATCCTGTGGTTTTGCTCATTGACTCTGGAGAACTGGAGACCTCTGAGCAGATATGAAGAAGCAACTTGAAAGCAGTGTGGCACTTGGCGTGTGGTGCCATGTCTGTGTGCTTCATCGCTTCACCTTTTGCCATTAAAGCAGTTTCCAGGGGACTGTATTCCAGCATAGTGTTGTTTTAAAACCTTCTTAGTAAAGGTGATTTTATAACCTCTTTGCTTTCCTTCATTGTCCAGCAAGTCTTTACCATGAGAAATTTCTTATTGCAGTCTAGCCCAAATCTTGTACTTAATAATTTATTCTTGTTTCTTTTAACATTCCATAGAAGAGTCTAAAGCTGTCTGTTAGGAGTTAGAATTGGGGCCCAGCACAGTGGCTCATGCCTGTAATCCCAGCACTTAGGGCAGTTGAGGTGGGAGGATCACCTCAGGTCAGGAGTTTGAGACCAGCCTGACCAACATGGTGAAACCCCTTCTCTACTAAAAGTACAAAAATCAGCTGCGCGTGGTGGCGGGTGCCTGTAATCCCAGCTCTTCAAGAGGCTGAGGCAGGAGAAATGCTTGAACCCAGGAGGCAGAGGTTGCAGTGAGCTGAGATTGTGCCACTGCACTCCAGCCTGGGCAACAGAGTGAGACTGCATCTCTGGAGACACACATACACACACACACACACACACACACACACACACGAATTGAGTAATGTGCTAGCCAAGTTTGCATTATGATTTTCTAGTATCTTGCTAGTAGTAGAATTACCAGAACTTGGAAAGAGCTTGAGAGATCATTCTACATCCTCATTTTATAATTAAGTAGTAGAAATAGGACTAGGCCCTTGGTCTAATAGGAAATCTGGGGATACTGATTTAGTATAATTTAACTTGCAAAGCAACTTAGTTTCCCAATATCTCCTTCTGAAGTTATTGCTGCTCTGTTTCAGTCATTTACCATCACTGATCAAAATGTGCCCAGACAAGTATGTTCGACCTTAGAGCTAGTTTGTTGATGATACCAGAGGCTGACTCAGCCTACAAGTGTTGCTTAAAGGAAACGTCCTAAGACTCATGAAAGCTTACTCCTCCTCCCTGAGAGCTTTGTCTTCTTCTTCTTTTTTTTTTTTTTGCGACAGTCTTGCTGTGTTGCCAGGCTGGAGTGCAGTGGTGTGATCCTGGCTCACTGCAGCCTTCACCTCCTGGGTTCAAGTGATTTGCCTGCCTCAGCCTCCTGAGTTGCTGGCTTTCTTTTTTTTTTGCCCCATTTTGTTTTTTTATCCCCCTACCGTGCCTACTATTCTGTTGTTCACCATAGTCTCCCCCACACTTAATGGTGTCTGGTGCATAGTAGCAGTGCAAATGTTTGTTCAAAAAATGAATTCTAACTAATGAAGCATTTCCCAACACAGATTCTAAAGATATTTACTCCCTGAAGGAAGAGTTCTGTTTCCAAATGGACTTGAGATATTCTGTATGTCTGGTCCCACTGTTAGAGAACCACAGTGCCCATCAGCATTTTAAAGACTCTGAGAAGTCCTACAGTCAAATAAACAAACCCATTTAGCTCCTCTGTCCCATTCAGCCTTTTCAAACATGAGTGAGTGAGTTCAGAACGTAGTTACTCAGGGTTCTGTAGCTATCTGACCATAATGGTAAACTACAATAAGAGTTGTTGACTTCCTTCACCATCCTCACTTGATTTGAGCTCATGTCAGCACCTGCAGCTTCACCAGATATTGTTGCTGGTAAACGTCTGTAAGAAAACAGACCCATCTCTGTGGTTTTCATTGTAGAATATCCGGCCTTTAGTGCTTCAGGCTTATTTTTCAGGTGTTACTTCTGTTGAGGTTTTCCTTTTCTTTTGCTAACATTTAAACAGACTTTAACAGATGTGCTAGGGAAACATTGTGAAGATAGCAGTCCCCTGACCATTGGATGCAACTTGCAGCATTATTGCATCATCTTCTAAAAAGAAAGAACTGAAAGCTAGAAATGTCTGTACTTACTCTGTAGGTTACAGCAAAATAACGATGAGGTGGAAAAAATGTAGCAGACCAATAAATATTAGGAAATAGTATTTGTTATTATATAATATATAATAATATACTGTAATACATACTTGAAAGTAGTAATGTCTGATGAAGAAAGAAGTAGTGTCTCAGTTAATTTAGAAAGTTTATTTTGCCAAGGTTAAGGACACACCCATGACACAACCTCAGGAGGTCCTGATGACATCACCCATGGTAGTTGAGCACAGCTTGGTTTTATACATTTTAGGGAGACATGAGACATCAATCAATATGTGTAAGATATACATTGGTTCAGTCCAGAAAAGTGGGACAACTTGAAGTGCTCGAGGTGGGGTGAGTGGGCACTGCTAAGTCATGGGCAGATAAAAGACAAATGGTTACATTTTCATAAATTTTTCTTTTTTTTTGAGACAGAGGCTTGCTCTGTTGCCCAGGCTGGAGTGCAGTGGTGAGATCTCGCTCACTGCACCCTCTGCCTTCCCAGGGGTTCAAGCAGTTCTTGTGCCTCAGCCTCCTGAGTAGCTGGGATTACAAGTGTGTGCCACCACACCTGGCTAATTTTTTGTATTTTTAGTAGAGATGAGGTTTTGCCATGTTGGCCAGGCTGGTTTTGAACTCTTGACCTCAAGTGATCCACTTGCCTTGGCCTCCCTGAGTACTGGGCTTATAGACCTGAGCCATGGTGTCCAGCTGGTTGCATTTCTTTTGATTCTCTGATTAGCCTTTCACTGAATACAGAATTTACCTGTGACAAAGGTAGAGGAATAGTCACTTATGCCTTTGCCTGGCTTAGTGAATCTGCAGTTTTACATAAACAGTAGGGCAGAGGAAGCAATCAGATATGCATTTTTTTCAGGTGAGCAGAGGGATGACTGAGTTCTGTCCTTTGTTCTTACCTGTGAAGATAAACTGTCAATTTACATTGCCAGGGTGAAATTCAGCAGAATTGTTTTAGAGTGAAGATCTTGAGGCCCACAAGGAATTTCCTTCTAGATAAATTGTAAGGGATATATATATAGCTTTTTTTTTTTTTTTTTAATCTATGTAGCTGTCTTATTTAGGAATAAAATGGGAGTCAGGTTTGCCTGATGCAGTTCCCAGCTTGACTTTTCCCTTTGGCTTAGTGATTTTGGGGTCCTAGCAATTTATTTTTCTTTCACAGTATGTCTTTATGATGTCATTATAGTGTCAGGATTTCATAAAATTTTGAATGGAATGAAATAATTTTGATTCAGGTTAATCTAGAAAGTTTGATGCCTAACTGTGCTTCATATAGGAGAGAGTAGCTTAGTGTGACATCGTGTCTACACACCCAAAATAAGAATCATAATTCTAAATCACTTTTTAAAAAGGACATAGAGCTGAGTATTCATATATTTTGTTTCCTTTAAATCAGTCACTGGTTTTATCCTGTGCTCCAAAAGATATTACCCTTTCTCAAAGTGTTTAGACATCTGGATAACAAACAAGTTGGTTCAATTTTCCAGATGTTTTGGTCTCCTGGGAGCCAAGCACCCAAGCCGCTGATTTATTTGAGGAGCAGAGACAAAGACATATTTTTGTTTCTTCAGTTTTCTGATTTGTTTGTGTACCTGCCAGAAGTTTTAGAAACCACAGTGCCTGGCATGTTCAATAAGATCATAGTGAAGTTTGCTGGAGAGTGGAGTTGGGAAGATGAGGAGTGCCAATGATTTTACAAGGAATTATTTTCAGTTTTGTCCTTTGGAGATAGGGCTCTTGAGTTGGAGGAAATGGGCCTGCCATGTGCTGGTAATATATTCTAAGAAATAACTGCTTTTCTATCTCTTGTGTTTCTACTTCTATGGTAGCAAAACCGCATACAAACGTTTAGGTGACATGACTAGGCTGCTGTGATGATACAGCCTCAGTTTCATTTCAAGTTGCTGTAATAACCTGTGTTCCTGTTTTTAAAGGTAATGGGAAATTCATCCGAGTTCCAGAAAGCAGTCAAGTTAGTGATCAACACAGTTTCATTTGACAAAGATTCCACCGTCCAAGTCTTTGAGGCCACAATAAGGTAAAATAATGAATATTCATAAAATGAATTGGAGACTTCTTTTTATGTGTTTCAAGAGAAAAATACCTGTGAGGCTCTTTTCACCCCAAGATCCAGGCGGGGAGTCCATATGGGCTTTATGGGTGCAGTGTGCATTTTTCATGTTCATATCATATTTATCAAAACTGGAACAATTATTTCAAAGTAATAATTCCGGACTGAAGGGAAAGACACATTTATATTTTGTTTTGTTTTGTTTTGTTATATTTTGTTTTGTTTTGTTATATTTTGTTTTGTTTTGTTTTTATAGATTAAACTCTTTTTTTTTTTTTTTTTTGAAATGGAGTCTGCTGCCTAGGCTGGAGGGCAGTGGTGCAATCTTGGCTCACTGCAATCTCCACCTCCCAGGTTCAAGGTATTCTCGTGTCTTAGCCGCCCAGGTAGCTGAGATTACAGGCACACACCACACCTAAGTTTTGTATTTTTAGTAAAGACTAGATTTCACCATGTTGAGCAGGCCGGTCTCAAACTCCTGACCTCAAGTGATCCGTCTGCCTTGGCCTCCCAAAGTGCTGGGATAACAGGTGTGAGCCACCATGTCTGGACACATTTACGTTTTAACGGGGGTGTAAAATAGGTGTCTGTCTAGTACAGAATTTCATGGTTTCCCTTTATAGTCTGATTTCATTTCCTTCTTTCACCGTGTCCTAGGACAACCCCTACATATTTCTGAAGGAAATGAGTTTCCCATCTTACCACCCACAGAAAATCACTGCTTAGCATTTTAGTATATTTCCTTGTTAGGTATATTTCTCACTTCTATTTCTCTCTCTCTCTTTTTCTCTCTCTCTCTGTTTAATGGATTGGGATCATGCTCTATACCTAGTATATTGTATATTGCTTTCTTTGATATATTGTGCTTATTTTCCTGTTTACATTTTTTGAAAATTGTATTAACTGCATAACATTCCAGTTCGCAGATGTAATACTTATTTAAAATTAAATTTGTGAAAACCTTTGTTCTGACATATGTCACAGTCTACTTCAGATCTTTAGAATGGGACTTTATGGGTCTACAAGGACTTAGGTATAAGCTGGTAGCCTGCTGCCTCTTAGTAGGTCATTTTTTCCTCCTCCTCTTCACCTTGCCTCTTTACCAGATGTTAGGGTGTTAGGGAAGCTGCTTGGCAGCCACAACAACAAAAATTACTTAGTATTTGTTGTCTTACCTTTCTGGGTTTTTTTAATTTGAATTAAATTACATTTTTTTTTTTTTTTTTTCATTTTAGAGCAGGGTCTTGCCCTGTTGCCCAGGCTGGAGTGCAGTGGTGCTATCACGACTCACTGCAGCTTTGAACTCCTGGGCTCAAGCGATCCTCCAACCTCAGCCTCCCAAGTAGCTGGGACTACAGGCAAATGTCACCATGCCCAGCTTCTGTTTTTTTTATGAGTGTTTTCCCCAAGTGAAATAAATCAAGAGTAATAATACTAATAAGTAATATTTATTCTGAGAACAATTAGTATACTCTTTTTTTTTTTTTTTTTAAAGAAACAGGGTCCTGCTTTGTTACCAGGCTAAAGTGTAGTGGCATGATCATAGCAGCCTTCAACTTCTAGGTTCAAGAGATCGTTCTGCCTCAGCCTCCCAAGTAGCTGGGACTACTGGTGTGTGCCACTACACCTGGCTAAGTTTTTTTTATTTTTAATAGAAACAGGGTCTTGCTTTGTTGCCCAGGCTAGTCTTGAACTCCTGGCCTCAAGAGATGCATCTCCCTTGGCAAAGTGCCGGGACTACAGGCGTGAGCCACCACACCTAGCCAACTCCCTTTTCTTAATGCCCTAAGATTTAGATTACCAAAATTGTTAATATTTTAAATAGTATTGTTTTTGGTAGTCTCGGATAAATGATTCCCTTTCTCTCTTTTAGTAATATGGTTAACAAAAATCAATCGTGTATTATTAGAGCTAGAAAGGAATTCAAGAGGCCATTAAGTCAGGTCTCTCTGATGCAGGCAGTTCTGAGTCTGTGGATATGAACATACTTCTATCTTTCTGAATTGGATTATGTGCATTTACAAGCAACATGATTGTATTATCTTTTTGTTCTTCCTGTCATTAGGGTCCTGGGAAGCCTCCTTTCTGCTCACAGAATAATAACTGACTCCAAGCAGCCCTTTGGTGACATGACAATTAAGGACTATGATAATGAGTTGTTATACATGGCCCATGACCTGGCGGTGCGGCTCCTCCCTGCTTTTGAAAACACCAAGACAGGGATCCCGTATCCTCGGGTGGGTAGACTGGTTTGACCCTTTGTGTTTGACAATTCACTATCTTCCTGAATTAAAATTTTTTGTTTATTAATTTATTTGGGAGAAGGAATGGGATGGAGGTAGATGAGAAAAGCAATGTCCTTAGAAGAATTTTGCCTTAAATATGATGTAAATATTTTAAAATTCATTCAGCATTTACTGAGCATCCACTGTATGAAAGGCAGACAGTGATGTATCTGACTTAGTCCTTCCCTTAAAGAGTTGATGGTCTGTGAAGTTCAGTATTCTTAAGTTCATTTACATGTGTGGTTTGTATTCTCTGCTACAAAGCAGTGTAGGGCGTTTGTCTTCATCTCTGATTTGGGTCTGTTTTCCCAGAGATCCTCACGTGGGTATTGTGGGAGCTCAGTGAGTGAGCTTTTCATTGCTTCACGTGGATCTGTCAAATAAGGGCTGCACAGACCAGCAAGTTAGCTGCTGATTTAAATGCCAGGATCTGGAATTAGATTATATATTTGTGACATCTGATTTGCCAAGCCCAGAACTCCTCTGGTAATTGAGTTAGCCTTTTAGGTAACTGGCTGAGAACTGCCAGAGGACAGAGCCTTCATGATGAAACTGGCTGTCATATTCTGGTAGTGCCTCCTTTCTCTCCCGGTTTGAGGTTTGTTTAGGTGCTGAGCAAGAGTGAGTTCATAGTGGCTTATTTAAAATTTAGAAGAAACTCTATAGTTTGCTTTTATCTCTAACTCTAAAGCCTGGTGCTTGTGTTACCATGAAGAAAACCTGCTGGAAAGAGAAGGTTTAGTGAAGTGTTATAGCCATTCCCTGAAGACTGGCCCTTATTAATAAAGCAAGGCTCTGCTGTTCTTATTTTCTTGTTTGTGTCTTTTACATTTAATTCCCATATTCACCTCAGATGTATCTTGGAAGGCAGAGGGCTGACTCACCATGGTAAGCTTGCTTTATTAGCTGAGTGTAGTCTCTGAGACCTGGCTTTTCAGCCCTGCGGATTCCTTGAGTTTTGTCACAGTCTTTGTCTCTTCCCATCCCCAGGTGAATCTAAAGACAGGAGTTCCTCCTGACACCAATAATGAGACATGCACAGCGGGAGCCGGTTCCCTCCTGGTGGAATTCGGGATTCTGAGTCGACTGCTCGGGGACTCCACATTTGAGTGGGTGGCCAGGCGAGCAGTGAAAGCCCTTTGGAACCTCCGGAGCAATGATACGGGATTACTAGGTGTGGCACCTTTACTCGCCATTGGGACTGCACACTGCTTGGTCCCCTTGCTTTTCACATTCTCTGGGCTCTGCCCCCTTTTCACTCTTTAACTCATCTGACAACGCAGAAAGAATTGTGTCAGCTGTATCTAATTTCTTTATGTGACCGTTTGCAGAGAGGCTACATGGTCTGATGGAAAAGAATAAAGTTTTTGTGTTTGAGGGCTTCCTTCTGATTTGGATCCCCTGGCATATTCCACTTGAAAATTATTGTTAATGGAAATGCCATAAAAAGAACTGCCTCTGAGGCAGATTTTATTGCTTCAATATAAGGTTCTAAATATAGGAATTTAGAGTTACTGATGGAGCAGCTTTTTCCTTTTAAAAAATCTGGGCCTGTGGTAGTAGATTGAAACTCCAGATGAAACCTGTATGAGGTGGGTTTTTTTCCCTTGAGAATGTTTGATCAAGATGTTACTTAAAAATTATTATGGAAAATTTCAGAGTATAGTAGAGAGAAAGTATGATGAATAATAACCCCTATGTATGCATCATTTATCTTCACTAATTATCAGTATTTTACTAACTCAAGGTGTTATTTTATTTATTTATTTTGAGATAGGGTCTCACTGTGTCGCCCAGGCTGGAGTTCACTGGTGCGATCTTGGCTCACTGCAGCCTCCACCTGCCGGGCTCAGTGATCCTCGTGCCTCAGCCTCCCAAGTAGCTGAGATGACTGGTGTGTGTCACCATGCCCAGCTAATTTTGTTTGTTTTATGTAGAGATAGGGTCTCACTATGTTGCCTGAGTAGTCTCAAACTCCTGAGCTCAAGCGATTCTCCCACCTTGGCTTCACAAAGTACTGGAATTACAGGTGTAAGCCACTGTGCCCGGCCTGGGTGTTATTTTAACTCATGTAACTGTCTTAAGTTCTGAAATTTATGTATACATTTGTTGTATTTAACAACAGCAATAGAAATAAAGAAGTCACTCAAATTGTCAACCTATCACCAATAGTTGACCAGTGTCACTTCAGATTGTCAACTTTTTAGGTTTCCATAGACCCTTTCAGCCTGGCATGTGTAACTTTTGTATATTTTTCATTATAATATAAACAAATATTTTGATTCTGCTTGAATATGGCAGATCATTTGTTTCCAAGTTGGTGCCTTGCTTTCATAATTACCACTTTTGTTGTTGTTTTTATTATTAAAAAAAATTTATCCTTTCCCTTTTCTTTTCTTGTTTTTTTGTCTTTTGAGACAGGGTCTCCCTCTGTCACCCAGGCTGGATGGCAGTGGCACCATCTCTGCTCACTGCAACCTCTGCCTCTCAGGCTCAAGTGATCCATGGGCTCAAGTGAACCCCCCATCTCAGCCTCCTGAGTAGCTGCCACTACAGGCACCCCCCATCGCACCCAGCTAATTTTTTGTATTTTTGGTAGAGACAGAGTTTCACCATGTTGCCCAGACTGGTCTCGAACTCCTGAACTCAAGCGATCCACCTGCCTCGACCTCCCAGAGTGCTGGGATTATAAGTGTAAGCCATCATGCCTGGCTACTTTTTCTTTTTAAAATCATCTTTTTTTGGATAAATTCCCAGGAATGGCAGTACTGGGTTAAAAAGTCTGTGAAAAACTCTTGAGTTTTGAAATGCATCATCAGTCTGGAAAAGCAAAATGACAAACCTATTTTTATTTTGCATTAAATGTTTATCCCCATGTTTGTGTCAGTAAACGCTATATATTTAGAAAGATGTCTGGGCTAACTTAGTGATAAGACTGACAAAAATGTTAGGTCCAAGCAGCCACTCCTCCTGTATGCCAAGGATAAAGGTGCTGAGGAGCAGTGTGGTTGGAGTAGGAGGCGTGTCCGCATCCATGTCCTCCCTGATGAGACAGTTGGGACCTCAAGTGCCTTGTTTATTTTTGCAGGCAATGTCGTGAACATTCAGACTGGCCATTGGGTTGGAAAGCAGAGTGGCCTGGGTGCCGGGCTGGACTCCTTCTATGAATACCTCTTGAAATCTTACATTCTCTTTGGTGAAAAAGAAGACCTAGAAATGTTTAATGCTGCATATCAGAGTATTCAGAACTACTTAAGAAGAGGGTATGTCTCCCTAACATCTCCTCTGTTGCCTTGTAAAGCAAATAGAATGCATTCTGAAGTGTTTGTATTTTTTTAACATACAATCGCAGGGTCTTTTATCTCTGCCCTCACCTTACCACCTCTCCTGGTTTGTCAGTCATCTGGGGGCAAAGAGCTGTGTTAGCTTTCTGTCGCTGCATAGCATAGTACCCCAGAACCTAGTGGCTTAAAACAACAAGCATCATCTCATGAAGTTTCTTAGGGATAGTAATCCAGGAGCAGCTGAGCTGGTCACTCTGGCCCAGGATCTCTCCTGAGGTTGTTGTCAAGCTGGTGGCCAGGGCCACAGCCATGCCAAGACCTGATGGTGCTGTGAGATCCCTTCCAGGCTCACTTTGGTTGCTGGCAGGCTTCAGTTCCTCATTGACTGTTGGCTGGAGGGCTCAGTTCTTTGCCAAGGGGCCTCTTTGTAGGTAGCTCATGGCCACTGGCTTCCCCCAGAATGAGTGATTGAGAGAAAAAGAGAGAAAGAAGCCAAAATGGCAGCCACGGTGCTTTCATGACTAATCTGGGAATGATATACCAATACTTCTGCCAGACCGTTAGTCACCCAGATCAACCCTGATACATACAGTGTGGGAGGGGGCTGTGCAAGGGTGTGACTCACAGGAATAGAGGTTCTCGGGGGCTGTCTTAGAGACTTGTTGCTACTACAGGGGCTGACACATCCCAGTGTTTAACTGTGGCTTTAATTGCAGATAGATCTGCAATGCAGGACAATTATTTGCAGGACAATGTTTTGGTTCTATTACTTTCCAAAGAATTGTGAGGATTGGTCTTTATACTTGGTGATAGAAAGGACAATTACCACATTTTTTTTTCTCTCCGAGTTTGTTTAAAACAATGTTATTCACTATTTTTTGTTATGCATCCAGGATGACGGGAGAGAGAGAGCCATTTGAAGCTACAATGGCTTCTACCTAGTGTCACTCTCTTATCCCAGGTCGGTCTGTCTTTTTTTTTTTTTTTTGAGTCAGAGTCTTGCTCTCACCCAGGCTGGAGTGCAGTGGTACGATCTTGGCTTACTGCAACCTTTGCCTCCTAGGTTCAAGCGATTCTTCTGCCTCAGCCTCCTGGGTAGCTGGGACTATAGGCACGTGTCACCATGCCTTGCTGATTTTTGTATTTTTAGTAGAGATGGGATTTCACCATGTTGGTCAGGCTGGTCTCAAACTCCTGACCTCGTGATCTGCCTGCCTCAGCCTCCCAAAGTGCTGGGATTACAGGTGTGAACCACCACACCTGGCCCCCAGATCTTTCTTTGTATGTATTTCTATGTTAAGTGTCCAGTTTTAGTGCAAGTGATAGCTACTGAGCTTCCAGCTTGGTAGGATTTTCTTGGGTCCATTTCTACATTGCTGTTGTAGGAACCACTTGTATGTGCTGTGTTTAAGTAAGGGGCCTTTTGGGTGGAATTTATTTATTTTTGCTTCTCAAAGCCACAAACTAAATTGAGCAGTAATCCCCAAGGGTCTTGCTTTGATGCATTTCTCCAGGCCCATGCTATAGGGCATCACTAGAGAAGAGACTCTTTGTACCAAAAGAACCAAGTTTTTCTGCTCAGGTGAAATCCAGCATAGGCCCATGCTATATACTGAATTCTCTTACGTGGCAGGGCTCTTAAACGCAAAGCTCAAAGTGCTTTCTGCAGAATACTGTGAAATCCTGACATTATAATGGCTGCATTAGGAACTTTGATCCTGTGGTAAATATTATCTTCTGCTAGAGTCTAATGTAGATAGTTAAAGGCAGTCTCCAAAGGTTTAAGGAATGAGTTAGGAGAAAAAATTAATGTTAATTCCATTTAAATGAAACTACCAGCGACTGCTGGAGAGGTAGAGATCTGTCAGTGAGCTTTCTTTTCACCAGTGAATGTGCTGCTTGGGTTTGTAGGCGGGAAGCCTGCAATGAAGGAGAAGGAGACCCCCCACTCTATGTCAACGTGAACATGTTCAGTGGGCAGCTGATGAACACCTGGATTGACTCTCTGCAGGCCTTTTTCCCTGGACTGCAGGTATTTTGCAATCAGATTTCCTAAGAATAACCATTCACCAGAAAGGGCTTCTCCCTTCCTTTCTTTCTTTTCTAATACCCTGAGCATTCTCTGTCTCCTTTGGATTTGGGAGGTCACTAACACTATATGTCTTCATCTCTCTGTTTGTGAAATTAGTCTCCAGAATATTGAACAGAGCCATTCCACACAATTGCAAAACCATGCTTGAGAAGTGACTGTGTATGATTTTTGTTTTTGTTTGTTTGTTTTTGTTTTGAGATGAAGTCTTGCTCTGTTGCCCAGGCTGGAGTGCAGTGGCACAATCTCGGCTCACTGCAACCTCCGCCTCCCGGGTTCAAGAGATTCTCCTGCCTCAGCCTCCAGAGTAGCTGGGATTACAGGCGCCCGCCACCACACCCGACTAGTTTTTTGTACTTTTAGTAGAGATGGGGTTTTACCATGTTGTCCAGGCTGGTCTCGAACTCCAGGCCTTAGGTGATCTACCCGCTTTAGCCTCCCAAATTGCTGGGATTACTGGCATGAGGCACTGCGCTGGGCTGTGTGTGAGTTTTGGATAATTATCGCTCAGTTGTTTATTCCTTGTTCATTAGTACATGTAATCTGTTTTTCTGTTTGCAGTTCACATCAATTTGGCATTAGTGACCAGATAGGGAGGGCATTTATTTGTCTGGGTTGTCACTTTTGGGTTGGTTTTGTCTTTAACCGTATGTGTAGGTCAAGTAAGAACTCGGGGGTAGAGGAGAGCCCAGGCAGGCCCTTTGTGGCATGTCTTGTCACTCTAGGAATGGTATCTCAGCCTGATGACCTGTGTCCTCTCCTTAGGTGCTGATAGGAGATGTGGAAGATGCTATCTGCCTTCATGCCTTCTACTATGCCATATGGAAACGATATGGTGCCCTTCCTGAGAGATATAACTGGCAGCTGCAGGCCCCTGATGTTCTCTTCTACCCACTGAGACCAGAGTTAGTGGAATCCACATATCTCCTCTACCAGGTACTAGAGTTTTGTTTTTTTTTTCTCTCTTTCACTGCCTCCCCTGACCCCAGCAGTTCGTCGTTAATGAACATTTGCTGAATGATTTAGGGTTATGTTGTTTCATAGTGACTCTGATCGAGTTACCCCCTATCTGTAGTCTTGTTAGTGTTCAGTGTTATTCGTGACTTCACAGGACAGAGAAGGCATTTGCAGTGAAATATGTTTTTAACCTCATATTCCACAAAGCTGAATCGTGTTTTTACCATAGGACTTATATCTCACATCCTTAAATATTCATGAGGAAGATTTTGTACTAAGGTGTTTTCCAAATGTATTTGACCAGAAGACCTGTTTTTAGGATACAATTCTGCACCAGTGTACTGTGGAGCCCTGGTCTGTGTAATAACTATTCAGATAAAAAGAAAATTCATTTTCTTGGTTGTAAAGGAAATCATCTGGGATTCATCTGGATGCCTGTTTTTGTTTATATATGTATATAAACTAGTGTTCATCCTTTGTGAAATTACTGCAGTGGCAGAGGGAATGTGACTTTAACTGTGAAATGTCTTCTTCCTGACAGTTGAAGCCAGATATTTATACTTCTGTGCATGCCATACGTATGTACACGCAGAGAGTCCTCCTTCATTCACATGCACAGCAGCACGAGTGGTTAACTCACCAAGAAACTGGCCTTGGTGAAATTCAGTAGGCCTGTAACAGATGCCCACCATGGACCAGCCCTAGCAAGCAGAGCCTGAGTTTTAGAAACTCTGGTAGTGGGGCTAACACTAAGGTTTGAATTTATTTATTCAACAATTTTTTTTATACCGAATCCTTGCCATTTGCTTCAGATGAAAAAAGGGGAAAGAAATCCTATGAAACTGGTAGTAGTCCTCATGCCTAAAAAGGGACCTCCTGAGTTTTAGATAACCTCTCAAAAAAGGAAAAAGATGATAGACACCTGTTTGGCCTTTCTGAGCCCAGTAGAGCAAGGCTGTACACGGGGGATGGTGTGCCAATTACTGGCTGATTTCTCCTCTTAAGCTTAGTCCTGTAGCCTGTGAGCTTACTCCTCTTTGTTTCTTTCACTGCTTCTTTCATGTTTTCAGCTTCTCCTTCACGTTGCCAGAGATGTCTTGCACTCTACAGCTTTACCCTCTGTAGCCACACCCTGTGCACTTTTAATCTGGAGACTGCTAACCTTGTTGTTTTCTTTGTTGCTTCAATCTGGTGCTAGGCATGAATTAAAGATCCCCAATTTTTAAACTGTTTGTTGGATAAAGGCTTATCTTCCCAGAGAAGTTTTTTTCTCTAGTAAAACCATCTAAGAGCATGTGTGAGAAGAGTAGGCAACTGAGGACTGATTTCTCAGGGTGACTAGAGAGGAGAGGGTGGCGGCCTCCTTTTACACTTTGGAAAGTCTTGTTCCCATCAGCCTTTCCTCATGGTGCCATAACTGGAATGGTGGCAAGGTCCTGTTTCCTGTGCCTGTGTCTTAAGTTTCTGGAGAGTTCCGAGGCAAGATAGAAATTGGATTTGTTCTCAGATATGGTGCTGTCAGGGTGGGCATTGTTTTATTTCTAATCATGATGGGAACCAAAGTAGAGTATTGTTCTACCCTGGAACAGGTGGTCTTAACCCTGGCTAAAGTTAAACAAGTCACAGGTACACTTTGATGTGAACTGATGGAATACCTTAGTCCTCTAACCGTTGTGACCCTGCAAGGTGAATGACCTGGGCCCTGTTTCTTCCTTTGGCTGGCGACTCGTCTCCATGGGGAAACCCCCCAGTCACCCCGCAGTCACCATGATGTTTGTTGATGGCATGTCTTCCAAGCCCATGCTGGATCACATTCTCTCGTGTTCTCTCTAGGCAACCAAGAATCCCTTCTACCTCCATGTAGGAATGGATATTCTGCAGAGTCTGGAAAAGTACACAAAAGTCAAGTCAGTTTTCTAAGTTCCTTCCTTTTTCTGTCAGCCACTTTTATTTCAAATTGTTTTGGGGAAATATCCTAGTTTGCATTTTAATTTATAGAACCAGGTCATTAATGTTGCATTTACAGGGAAATTGCTTACCTTTTGGTGTAGTAGAACCTTTCCATTGTAGTGAGACCTGCCCTTTTTTTCCCGTGAGGTTCTAGCAGATTATGGGTGTTCATTCTAACTTCTTTCCCCTAGTTATACAATAACACATACACTAAAATGTTTAGGGAGTACAGAAAATATAAAGCAGTAGAATATTATCACTGTAATCTCCACATACAGAGAAAACTGTAGTCAGTATTGAAATGTATGTACTTATAATCTTTTAAATATATTTTTATATCTGATGTGTGTATATATGTATATATAAGAAACATACTGTGTTTCAATTTTGTGACATGCTTTTTTTTTAACCCGCTATATCATTTTTTTTTTAAAGTGCTATCTTAAATAATAAGTCAATACTCAAATAATAAGTCAATTCTCAATAATAAGTCAATTCTACAAGTATTAGGACTAGACATTTAAATTAGTCCTTTTAAATTTGTTGCCATTTTCTTGGTGCCCTGTTATGCTTCTGGCCAGCCCCCTGCCACCACCCCCACACCCTGTAACTCACCTGATAATTTAGCAGCCAAAAGCACTTGCTAAGTAAATTTGCGAACAATCCAGGCTATAAAAAAGGAGAGCCCTACAGTGTAAACATAGTTTCATATGGTGCTGGATGACTGGTTGATTATTCTGATAAGAGAATGTTTCTGCTTCTTAAGTGAATCAGCAGGTGGGAAGGAAGAGAGGCAGGACTGACCTGACAATTGTTTTGTAGGTGTGGGTACGCCACGCTGCATCACGTCATTGACAAGTCCACAGAAGACCGGATGGAGAGCTTCTTTCTCAGTGAGACCTGTAAATACTTGTATCTGGTATGTGTGTTGCAAGATGAACCCAGGAATATTTAGTATTGCTTAGAGCGAGCATTCGCATAGTCTTCTATCTGACAGATGCTTACTGGGCACAGCTACATGCTGGACATTGTGCATTCCCACGATGCAAATGCTGTCAGAACCAAAGGATATTACTATCTTCTTTCATGGTTTCCAACCTTGTTGAAAAGTCATTTGTCAAGTAAACCAAGAATTGAACTTATGATTACAAACTTATGACGTTAACAGGGGGAGTTTTAGAGTAAAAGGAAGGTGACCCTGTAGGGTGTGCTAGGTGGGAAATGCTGGTAATGATTGATACAGAACCAGCGTTAGTGTGGTGGTAGGGGGAAGATGCCTCTGAGGAAGAGAGCTGTGTTCATAATGGCTTCTCACTTTTCTTGATGTGTGTGATGTTGGCCAAGACCTGCAGCTCAGCCTTGTCTCTGTCCATATACACATCCTCAGGCACGTGATTGTGTGTGTGTGTGTGTGTGTGTGTGTGTGTAGAGAGAGAATTTCTGGACCTGGATGAAACCTTTGGTATTACCTAATGTTCATATGTTCATTATTTCCCTCACAAGAACTACAGCCTACACAGAGGTCAGGCGACTTGTCCGTAGTATGGGGGTGGCTGTGGCAGAGCTGAAATGTGAACTGTGGTCCTGACTCCCTGTCTGGTGGTCTTTCCACCTCACCCCTCTTCCTCCTGCCACTTTCCTCAGTATGGCCACATAGAAACGAGGGCAGGATTTCCAGGTTAGAAGATAGGATGGCAACTGAGAACTTGGGCAGAGGGTCAGAGATAGAAGCAGCTGCGATAAATTGCATTTATCTAGTTCTGTGGTTCCTAGGCCTGGGGCTAGCTGGGTCCAGATCACCCTGGGGCCCTTGCTAAGATTACAGCCATATTGAGTCAGAATCTTTAGAACAAGCGTTCTCAGAAATCTGTCATTTTGACAAGTGCCTTCAGTGGTTTCACGTGAGCCAGGTTTTGGAGCTGCTGGTCTAATCCATTAAGATGATACTCTTCTGTGTCTGGTGTCTTTTCACAGACGACTGCAGAGGTATGTCCACCAGCAGCGCATGTGGTCTGTCCAGTGGGAAGACAGCTGTCCTGCTGTCGATTCCTGTGTGTGCAGTGGTTCTTGCTGTCCATGCAGGTGGCTCAGGTCTGCTAAATCAGGCTGGTCAGAGCCTAGCTGCGTACTTCCATCCAGCAGCCAGTGGTGTCAGAAGGACGCTAACAGGGCAAGTTTTAGAGTAAAAGGAAGGTGACCCTGTAGGGTGTGCTAGGTGAAAGAACCTAGAGTCTAGGGAGAGGAAAACCTGTGGTCTGCCCTGTTCTTCTCTTGTTACTGTGTAAACATTGACAAGCTGCACTGAATCTCATTTTTCCTCATCTTGAAATAGTTTAGGTGACCAATACAGTTTCAAAGAATTTCTAGGTATTCATTCATTCAACATTCACAGAACACTTGCCTTCTCCTGCACTGTTGCATCCCATATTGGGTTAGATGTTCTTTCTAGATGCTCTTTTGTTCCATGTCACATGCACCATTGAGGGAAAGGACTGTGCCTTGTGGCCATTGCGTCTTCAGAGCCCAACCCTTGTTGTGCAAGAAATGAACTGAATGTTGGTAGATGTGTTGGGCTCTGTGCTAGGCCCAGGCGATATGGTGATGGATAAAACTTGGTTCCTCCCTGCCAGCATTTACAGTTCAGGGACTAGGTGTCTGTGAGGCTGGGTGTAGTTCTAGAATTCCAGCAGGAGAACTCTTAGGTAGCACATGGCAATCATCCAGCAAACTTTTATAGACTACCTGTGCTTGGGCCTTAGCCTTGGAATTTCTGAGTCTCTGTGTCGGGGCGGGATATGTGTAGGCAAGAGGCAGGTCTAGGTATCTGAGTTTAGATGAAGCAGGTGATTCTGCCTTGCAGCCTGGGTTGGGCACCACAGTTGTCAGTCAATTCTTTTTCACCCAGTTGTCACTGAGAAGCATGAGGTCCAAGCAAATTCTACTCCCTGAGTAGCTGGGACACTCCCCCATGATTCAGTTCCAAGTGTGCTACAATTATTGGTTGTATCTTTTTTTCCCTTCCCTCTAGCTGTTTGATGAAGACAATCCAGTACACAAGTCTGGAACCAGATACATGTTCACAACAGAGGGACACATTGTGTCTGTGGATGAGCATCTTCGGGAATTGCCATGGAAGGAATTCTTCTCTGAAGAGGGAGGGCAGGACCAAGGGGGAAAGTCTGTGCACAGGCCGAAACCTCACGAGTTAAAAGTCATCAACTCCAGCTCCAACGTGAGTTGCTTTTTCCAGGGGTGATTTGCATATATAGGAAGAGAAAATACTATGAATTCCTTAGTTGTTCAGACTTCCTGATGGAAAATTGATGGTGTACGCAGATTGGGAGATTTGAAAACACCTAAAGACACCATTTACATAGATGTTGTCAGAGTGTAGGGAAACCGCAGGAGCAGCAGTGGCATCATCACTGCTGGCTGCAGGTGCCAGTGGAGAGAGTGGCCACAGGTTCCTGGAAGAGGGGAGTCTTGTGGGAGGAGCAGCCACTCAGCAGGAGCCACCGCTCAGATCTGACTTTTGTGGCCTTGCTTGGAGGGAGCCGGCAGAGTCAACATGTGACCCCTCCCTGCTCCCCCAGTTGCCTGCTGGAGCATCTTCTTGGCTGCCTGGGGCAGAAGCTGGAGCCCGAGGGAGCCTATTGATATGATCCATCAGTGGACCTGGAGGGGCAAATGGAAGACATTCAGCAAAATCATCTACCAGCAGCAGAAGAGAAAAAAGCGGTGATAGTCACGATGGTCCTAATGAAGATGCTCTTCGAAGTGCAGCAAACACCCACATTCATTTGAAGTAGGGCTTTACTCCACATGCCTAGATTGTCCTGAGAAGCAGCAGAAAAAATTTGAAAATGGAAGTCCTTGCATCCCTAGTGAAAGTATCAGGTAGTTGTATTGATTTGAATAAAATAGGATGGTTTGGAAGTGAGGATAGGGAAATGTAGATCAGTCGAAATTTCAAATCTCGTTATCCCCCAGGGCCTCGGTGGTCAGGAGTTCAGCAGCCTCCCCACAGATGGGTTGCCTTGGCATTGGGGCGCCCTCTCATTGCAGACTGTGCTTCAGTGCTTTTCCATTAATGCCCCAGTAAAGGTCTTCACCATCAGTCTGTGAAGTAAATCGATAGGCCAGAGTGTAGATAACCACCTCCGCCCCCATTTCCATCAGTCATGGAGCGCTGATTGAGTGGACAAAGCATAATCGGGAGGAGGGGGAAGGAGAGTGAGGGGAAAGTTAATAACAGCCAGCACTTGCAAATACGTACCAGGGTTAACCTTTGCACCACTCTAAACGCTGACCTATGTTAACCTGTTTACTTCTCCAACAGCCCTGTGAGGGGCGGGTACTTTTAACGTCTCCATTTTACAGATGAAGAAAGGGAGGCACAGAGAGGTTCAGGTCCCACAGTGGAGCCAGGATTTGGACCCAGGCAGTGTCTTCTCTTTTAGGAAGGAAACATCTCTGACCTGCCACACTCACTAATAGATCTGATCCCATGATTCCAGGGATTCAGGCCCTCAGGAGGGCTCCCAGTTCTGGATAGGGGCATGGCCTAGTGGGGAATCCAGTTCCATCCTAGGCGTTTGTCCGTAGTGCCGTTGAAACACAGAGGGCAAGGACTAATCTCCAGAGAAAATCAAGGCGGGATTCCCTGAGGAGGTCACTTGCTGGAGATCCTTGAAGGATGAGAAGGGGTATCCCAGAAAGGATGTTCAGGCAGAAGCTGTAGCACCTGCAAAAGCACAGAGATGTGGGCTTGGGGGGCAGTCGGGACCAATGGAAGGATCTGCCAGTCTTAATCTTGCCGGGGATGAGGAGCAGGGCGTAGTTAGTTCAACTACAGGGCATGGGGAAAATGTTTCTTTGGAGATGAAGCGGATAATGGATGTATTTAGACAACTGCTTCCAGGGATATTACAGTTGGTTAGTTCTCAAGATGTGCATCTCCTTTGAGGAAAAAAAGTGGTGCGGAGGTCTTTAATTAAAAAAAAAATAGTAGTCTTAAGCATTTAGAGTTTAGTTGTGAATGAGAAAAACATAGCTCAGAAAAACACATTGTTTTCAAATAGCAGAAATGTTTTCTGAAATTCTGGGTGTACTAAGGACCCCAGGGATGTGGCTTTCAGTCCTGGCCACTAAGTAGTTGCTGTGATGCCTTTTAGCCTCCCCGGATCTGCCATTTCTTTATCTGTAAAGTGAGTGAGGATATTAAATTATGTCAGTGGTCTTCACCCGAGGGTGATTTTGCTGCTCAAGGGACATTGGAACAGTGTCTGGAGACGTTTTTGATTTTCACAACTGAGGCATAGGAGTTGCCACTGGCACCTACTGGGAGAGGCAAGGGGTGCTGCTGACCGTCCTACAGTGTACAGGCGGCTTCCACAACAGTTACCTACTTCCAAACGTCAGTAGTTCCCAGACTGAGAAACCCTGGATTAAGTCATCCAGTCACATTTTCTGAGAGATCAACGTATGAGTTTTTAATTTTCCCTCGTTTTTGTCTTTCTAGTGCAATCGTGTACCTGATGAGAGGAGGTACTCCCTGCCCTTAAAGAGCATCTACATGCGACAGATTGACCAGATGGTTGGCTTGATTTGATCTGCTCTCTGTGAGGCCTCATCTTGAACCAGACCTTAACAACCGAACCCAGACCATGCCAAAGTCCAGTCTGAAATGGAAGGGGACAGAAGTCTCGCTGTCCGTGATAGTGTAGGAATTTCTGTGCAGCACCTCACCACATCTGGTTAATCCTTGCACACTTCAGTGTTTCTCTCTTGTTCAATAAAATGCCCTATTAAGGATATAATTTGAAGTGAGAAGGTACATGGAAATTGGCCTCTTATGACATGTTGATGTTATGAGCACAAAAGATTGGGCATTCTTTGGATTGATGTTCATAGCTTTATACTTTAGAACCTCAGTCTCTTTACTTTGCTGGCATCTGCTATACTGGAGTATTGCTATGTCTTAAAAAAATTTTTTTTATTACTTTTATTTTTTTGAGACAGGGTCTTGATATTTTTTTGAGACAGGGTTACCTGGGCTCAAGTGATCCTTCTGCCTCAACCTCCCGAGTAGCTGGGATTACAGGTGAGCACCACTGTACCTGGCTAGCTACTTCTTTATTAGAGGATTGAGAATGAAATTTCTGCAAAAGGGTCTGTGGTTCATTTGGTATCCCTACTTAATTGCATTGAAAATGTCATCCTTTCTGTTATTAGATAATTGGGCTCTTCCCCTGATATCCAACCATGATTTTGGATCACATGGGAGAAAAAATCATCCAGTTTTTCATGTATGCCTCAAGTAATCTTTACAGTGTTACAAATTATTTGCTTAAGAATAATGGTCTTAACCAGAATTCTTAACAGAGTCTCTTAAGTTATTATGTTATGGTCTAAGAGGTTAACTGACAGATCTTTTGGATGGTATTTTGCATTTTGAATATGAACTTACCTGAGGAAATCCCATAGTTCCAGAATCAGGTGCTTTTTAGGAAGAGAACAATACCTAGGGTTGTCTGAGCTTCCATCTTTCTCATATTTCCTAAGCAAGGATTCTCAGTTCTGACCATATTTGGGTTAAAGTTCTGTTTTTTTTTTTTTTGTTTCCTATGTCTAGTGCCAATTAGCTAAATCAGGGAGAAAGAAATGATCACATGACTTTTTAGCATCCTTGAGCCATTTCTCTGTGTAATACAGGCTTTAGATTAGTGCCTTATATTGGTTTTGGTTTGGGCCACTGGATGTCACAGCTACTGATACGGTTTCTGGAGGCCTGTTTAGCCACATGGTGAGACCATGGTGAAAGGGGGATGGAAATTGCTTGGCCAGTCTTTGCCTTTCAACCTGTAAAAGTAAGCATGTAGACGGAGGAAGTTGTGCTAAAATGCCTTCTTTTTTTGTTTTATTTTCTTAGCCAGAACATCTCTCTTTGATCCCACACTGATACACACCTGCTACTCTTACACAGTGCGGCAGGGTTGACTCTTAGTCTGGCTTCCATGAAGCATCATGGGTGGAAACACATTCTATTAAAAAGGGTAGGAAATCCCTAAAACTTCCAGCCTCACATACCACGATTCTCACCTGTCACTGTTTGCCCACCTCTAAGGATTTCATGTGCATCTTTTCAAAGCTAGAAATAAACACTGTCTATGTTGCATTTTTAGTCAAAAGGGAGAAATCTTATTCCTTCTTAAAATTTTTAAGTGTTACGGTTTTAAAAATACATAGTTCAGTTCTTTGAGATTTTTGAAAAGAGGATTTTCAGTAATAAACGTGCCATCTCTTTTAAACATTTATTACATCAATTGTTTTAAAATAGAAAAAATAAAATGCTTCTATTTTACCTTTTTTCATTTCAGAAGCATTATTCTGTTTATCAACAATGTCCCATCTACTGAATGGAAAACTTTGAGACTAGTATATATATTTTAAATGTTTTCAATGACTCATTAAAAATGTTAAATAAACACACGCACGCATGCATGCACATACACGAGCATACTTGTACCTGTGTCTCTGGGCAAACAGAGGTAGGACTGTTAGTGACCCATTTGGGAATATAGAGCATCTCAGAGAAGGAGGTGAGTTTTTCGTGCCTGTGATTTCTCTTGGCGCTCCCCTCCTCTCCCGCTCTGGCTTCTGTGGTGGCAGTGGTGGGTAAGCACTCCAGTGTTCTCTTAATGAGGCATTTTACCTGTCACTCGAGCAAGCCCGGGTGTTCCTTCCTCCTCATGCTCCTGGAATAGGGAATGGGGATCTTATGCTTTCAGAGTACAGAGTGCTGCAGGTGCTTCTCAGGGGCCACAGGCTGTCAGGAAACGTGTTTTATGTTAAGTCCCAAACCCTCTTGACTTCTGGGTACTGGAATTAATACCAGTAGGTGAGACTGAGGGTGAGTGAGTTAGTACATATTCATCCTGGTTGTTGAGCTTCCAGACTACCCAGTCCGAAGTTTGATGCTATGTAGTCAGTGGTTTGTGTGGCTGGATGCCAGAAGGTTCTTTGAGCCAGTTTCAAAGGTTACTTGTTTTCTTTTTGAAAGTCAGAATGTTAACAACTGTGATATATCCTGCCGGGCTTTTGCAGTTTCTTCTGTTCTATGTTCTGAAATACTGGGTAGAGAATGGATGAGGAGGAGATTACCAGAGAATTTGCTTTGCTTAGTGCTTTGCCCCAGGAATGCCTCAAATCTGAGTGGACTTCATCCTTTGTGGCAGCTCTGAGCCTGGCCCATCTTCCTGTTCCCACGTGTAGCTAGTGTCTGGTGTCAGCTTTGCTCAGTGTGGTGGAAGCATTTTGCAGAACTGTTGTAGAAAGCTGCCTTATAGTTGGCTTGATGAAGCGTAATTCTCTCACAACAAACTTTCAAATCATTATAGGGGAGGCTTAGCTACTTTAGTTGATGTGACCGAGGAATCCCTTCTGGAAGAATAGGTGGCAAGGAAGGGTTTGCTAGCTCTCCATTTGCACTGGCCATTGTGAAAAACCAGCTTCTGTATTCAAATCTTCCGTTCATTTTAAAAATTTTTTTTTCTGCAGTGCTTGTGCCAGAACTTATTCATTGTAACTGAATCCTCAGGGCTTTTCTTGTTTTAGATCATGGACTGTGTACGTGACACTTAAATAATTTTCTACGTATTTAAAGAAAAATGCACCAGGATGATATCTGTGCACATGACTATTAGAGGAGCGTCTGTAGGAAGTATCTGGTTTGGTCAGCGCAGTTGTGCAATCTGAGGGCCTTGTTCCTCCTCCTCTTCCCTCTTCTCCCCACCAAAGGAAGATATCCCTCTTAATGATTTCTTAGTTCAGTTTACTGAATGATTGCCACCTGTAATTCCTCTTTGGATTGTGTAGACTCAACATGAGACATTCCTTTCTGCTTTTGGAGGGCACCAGAGGCCTTTCTCTTTGAAAAATTTCTTTTTTGTCTGTTGACAAAAACAAAAATCTTTTTTCAAATTTAGTGCTGTTGTAAAGGTAGGGCTGAGTGATTACCTTAGCCACAGGGTGGCTGAGCAGGAACTTTAGAAGAAACTTCTGAGCTTTCCTGTCCATTCCCAGCATCCAGCTCCTATTCTAGTGCCTCTTCCCTGCAGGGCAGGGACACCTTGGGAAAGCGAGGAGGTGGGGCGGGTTGGGCCGTGTGTCCCAGGTTTCGCAGGGGTCGGAGTTATGCTCCCGCTTGAATCCGGACGTGAATCTGGTAAAAATGTCAAGTACCTGTGGAAATCCCTGATTCTATACCCTCTTCCTTCTTTCTTCAAGGCAGAGGAATAGTATTTTTAAAGGTTATTTTGTTTTAGTTTTAAATAGCAGAACACAAGCTGCATTTTTATTTATTTTGCATAAGAAAGGTAAATCTTCTTACAAAAAAAGTATAGAGTTGGAAGCTCGGGGAAAACTTACTGAAATACACAAATGCTTCTCTCTCTGTAATGTGCAATATGCTTTGCAACTTAGATGATATTTTATGTTTAATCTGTAAATAAGAAATGTATTTAAATTAAAAGGGATCTTTTTGTAAAAGGACCAAATGTTCTTTTATAAATGTAATAAGGAATATCTTGCTCTTTAAAATTTATTAGGATTTTTATGAGTAATTTTTATTAAAAGATTTCTTTTTTTGAGCTGTCATCTTGTTTCTCTTTTACATTCTCATGTAGACACATTACATGCAAGACAAACAGGGGAGAAAAATCTCTAAAGGAACTGCCCATCTAGATGAATAAAACCTTGCTTTTTATAGCTAAGCCCTAAGTAATACCTCCCCCGATGGAATTCCACTACATTTTTGTATGTCACACTCTTCCATTAAATGCCCTTCCCATGCGGGTCACAACTGCTTTTCATGACCTTTGTCCCAGCCCTGGCCTTCCCCTCTGCATTAGCCTCCTTTCTCTTAGCCACTGAGTCATTGTCTATTCTTACTGCCAATTAGCTGAGTATATCTGGGATCTGAAACCAGTTCTCTGTGTTATCGTAAGCAAGGTGCTTCATTTCTCCTCACCTCTGAGAGCAGTGGCACTTCACGGCCTGTGTAGGAAGCATGTGGGTTGAGGGTTCTGGAGGGCTGGCCTCCCTCCCTGTGTTGCCACCAGAGACCATGGTGGGATCTTGAGGAAGAGACCTGCTCCTGCTCTGTGACATCTGTCTCCCAGCTTTGGTCACAGTCAATTCTGATGGGCTTTTTTTTTTGAGATGGAGTTTCACTCTGTCACCCAGGCTGGAGTGCAGTGGCGCGATCTTGGCTCACGGCAACCTCTGCCTCCTGGGGTTCAACTGATTCTCCTGCCTCAGCCTCCCTGAGTAGCTGGGACTACAGGCACATGTCATGACGCCAGGCTTATTTTTGTATTTTTAGTAGAGACGGGGTTTCACCATGTTGGCCAGGCTGGTCTCAAACTCCTCACCTCAGGTGATCCTCCTGTCTTGGCCTCCCAAAGTGCTGGGGTTATAGGCGTGAGCCACCAGGCCTGATGGGCCTTTTTAAAGGCCACGAAGCATGCTAGGGCAAAGGAGAGACTCTCAAGGCTGGAAGCACCTTGCTCATATTGAGCTCTACTATTGTGAGGGGTGGTGGGGTTGTGTTTGTGAAGTCTCGTGGGTTTGTGATCTTGACAAGACCAAGCAAGCCCAGTGGGCCAAAGGACCAGATCAAGAGCCACAGGGCTCTTGCCTTCCTGCCTTCCCGCTCCAGGCTGCCTCAGTAGTGCAAGCACCAGGCCCTTGCCATCTGTGGAGCAAGAAGTCCTGTGTGAACGGTGCAGTCAGTGTCAGGTGGAGCATGGGGACTCTGGGCCACACTGTGCTGGGTACAATCCCACCTCTACCCCTAACTTAGTTGTGTGCCTTGGGCAAATTACAGACTTGCTGGCCTCAGTTTTCCTATCTAGTAAATGGTTTGATAATAATAGCCCATACTCATAGGATAGTTGTGAGGACTGGGTGGATTAATATGTGTAAGGCATTTAACGTGTTTCCTATAATTATGGTCCAGTTGGATTTGACATCCAGGATCAGACCTAGGACTTAAACAGGAATGATGGAGGAAGAGTAA